ACCCACCCACACACTCTTTGTAATAAACTTACCTCCATCAGATCCAGCAATGGAATCCGGAGCTGCCTATTGAGGACACGTTGTACTGCTCCTCCCCACTCAAGCTGACTGTCAAGATAAAACCGCAGGGTTTTCATTGCTCAGGGTCCTACTAATGTTATGAATGCAGAGCAATTACCCTCTGCGGTATTGCGGATACTCACCTCTCTGGACTGTGAGAAGCCTTCCTTCCTGGGGCTGTCTCCTGCAGATTCCCCCCCCCCTGCAATCTGACCTGCTGTTGCACACTCATCCTGGGAAACTGCATCTGAGGCTGGCTTATAATCGGATTCTGCTGGGAACCTGCTCTCCACAAAAACCGCAAGTAGTAACCCATACTAACTGGGTTATACAGTTGCTACTGATTCTTCTGCTAGAGACTTGGCAAATTGTAAATACTATTGCGTGTTGTAGTGAACTACAAATCCCAGCTGCCACCACCATCGGCTACTGTGTTACCTTGGGCTGCCGTGTACTACCAATATACAATTACTAAAGATTCTTATGGTAGAGACTTTGCAAATTGTAATTGCTGTTGCCTGTTGTAGTAAACTACAAATCTCAGCGGTCACCACCACGGCTACTGTGTTACAACCATATACTGTGGACCTCTGTATACTACCAATATACAGTCACTATAGATTATTTTGGTAAAGACTTGGCTCATTGTAATTGTTATTCCCTCTTGTAGTGAACTACAAATCCCAGCTGTCACCACCACATCTACTGTGTTACAACCAGATATTATTGGTTGTCACGTACTACCAATACCAGCTGCGCTGTCTTCTTCCATTACATTGAATAATATAAATTAGATTGCAGAGAACTATAACCCCTATCTGCTTCGTCCAGTGCTAATTGCATGCTATTTAAGATTCCGGACCTAGATGAACTACGAATACCTCCGTTATATATATTCTTTGTACCATTGCAGTATGTTAGCAGTAGACATGTGCACTGCCAAAAAATTTGTTTCGTTTCCTTCTTAAATTCGGATTTGTGTTATTTAGTTTTTCAGGATTCGGGTGTGAAAGTCAATTCGGATTCGGAATTCGGATTCGGACGAAATTCGGTAGCGTTAGTACGAACGTTCGTTTCGTTTTCTGTTCTTATTCGTTTCTTATTCGTTTCGTTCGTTTGCAGCAAAAGTGACATTTGAGGGGGAAAACATATTTTTCTCCTTTTCTAATGTCACTTTGCTCCAACGAACGAAACGAATAAGAAACGAATAAGAACAGAAAACGAAACGAACGTTCGTACGAACGCTACCGAATTTCGGAAATGGAAATTCGGATTCGTTTGCATTCATTATGTCTGTAATTCGGAATTCGGATACATCCGAATGTCCGAATTTCCGAAAATTCGTCCGAATTTCGATTCGGAACGAAACGAATCGCACATGTCTAGTTAGCAGGTTATTATACTTCTGAACTATTGAAGTGACTCCTAAGTGACTCCCATTGTGTTTGCAAGTAGGAACAAATTGTTCCATGTGTAGAGTGCTGTACTAGGTGTATGAAGGAATACACCAGTGAGAGTGCACGGATTTCATTTGCTACTATATATATAACGGTGCATGATGTATACCAGTTCCACAACCTCCTCCGCACTACATGGAGCATATAATTGTGGAACTGAACACTGAACTACCGTTTCCTCAAGAGACAAACCATTGGAGACAGTTACTCCCTTTGGCCTAGGTAACCCACTTGCCTCCGCAGCTGAGATCCTATAACTAAATTACTGTAATATTACACTCTTTAGTAGACTGCTTCCCATTACCCCTCTCCCGCTCTGTAGTAGGCGGCTCCCAGCTGTCCCCTTTGTTGAGCCATTCACATGTAGGCGGTGCCTGCTTGCACTACAGTGGGAGGAGAAGACATTGCAGGGGCATGGCTATCAGCACTGTCACTGCTCATTCACAAGTCTGTACCTGCCACACCTAATCCCACCCACTGCTTTCTGGATTGCTGACACTGAACCCTGAAACCCTCTCACTGTGAGCTGTAATGTCTGGGAGGGGGAGTGTGTGAGACACAAATTGAGGATTTGGCTCTGTCAGAGAGGGTAACAAAAGTTTGTGGTTTATTTTGAGGTTTGTGCATCACATAGAACTGGTTCAGCCTGTCATACCAGAACCTTTACTTCCTTCACTGGAAGTCTGATGGAGATTTGATTGCTGTATGTTATATTGTATGTATAGAATTGTGTTTTTTGGCTTTGTTTTTCATACAAGTTCTGGATTTGCACACTAAAGGAGCCCTTGGAAATGTTATGGTACTTCTGGGTATGGGAAGTCATGTGGCCTGTAGTGTCGGAGCAGCTAATCTTCAGGCTTGGCCTCTGTCACATGGGGTGAACATCCTTGGCCCTGTGCAAGCTCCAACTATGAGTGTGAGATCAGTGTGTAGTGCACTGCGGTTACATGAATGTACAGCGACCACATCTGAGATGCCCATGTATAGTGTGCTTCAGATCTACAGTACATGTGAATAGTGCTGGCCTCATGTACAATGCCCCTGGGTTTGTAAGTGTGAAGTAAAAACCTTATTTTGCATTCGGTGTACGAGGGGCGGAGGGGGAAGCCTATTGATTCCCTTGTTCAATGAACACACAAAACTCTCTGCCTTTATGATTGGTAGACAAAGACCATGTGATCTAGGCTGCCTGGGCTATGAGCAGGTGGTCTTTATTCATGGGAAAGCCCCAGTTAAACCTACATATGAGCACGGCTGAAGCTAGCATACGGCTGCATAGGCAGCTGCCTGAGGCGCCGGGTGCTGGGGGGGGATGCAAAAAAATGCAATAATATGTACAACAAAAAGATTAGTTATTTTCGCCAAGGACCAACGTATTGGTTAGAATGTCTGTTAAGTTACTTATTGCTGTTGTGTCCTTTTCATGTCCCCATCTCATTCTTATTTCCTGTACACTGTCTTGTTCACCTGACAGGTCCTGGCTTTGCATCATGTGTGTAGAGGCACCTTAAAGGAGAACTATGACATGAGTGATTTCCACTCACCTCATAGTTCTAAGCCGACCTGTGACAATGAGACTGTCACAGGTCGGCTCAGTAGATCGGGAGGTGAGAGAACACATACCGGGTTCCCTCACCTCTCGATCCTTTCACGACTCTCTGCCGTGACAGGGGGAGGGTCTGGATTCCCCTCTCCCCGCTCCGATCTGCCAGCGCTGACTGGCGGAACGGACGGGGGAGGGGGCGGGTACAGCTGGCTCTGCCTCTAGATAGGCAGAGCCAGCTGTCACTCACGCAGCTGGGCGGATCCCGTCATCTAAGTCGGGATCCACTCCAGGTGCGGCGTCTCAGTATACCGCGAGCTGTAGCTCGCGGTATACTGAGCTTAGGGTAACGGGAGGACGCTAGTTTGTGTCCTCCCGTTACCCCAAGGAGAACTATGGGGAAAAACACTGACCCCATAGTTCTCCTTTAATGCTGATATGCATATTTCCTATCTATTTGCAAATGTTTTTAAAGTACAACCTCTAGCTGTACTACATATTAGATATTAGAAGAATGTATTAAGTAGGTTTAATTTGCTTGGATGCTACTGAACTTTATATTGAATTTATAATCATCCTGATGTTTTTATGCCAGAATGGACTCAGATTTGGAAGAGAGGGTTAACAGAGTTAGTAAAATTAGCTGCTTCCAACCTCTTTCACTTTGATAGGTCTACAGCTGCACCTTGCTTTGCTGGCTTCACAGCTTTGTGCAGACATTGTAATGCCATGTTATACATGCGTTTGGAGGAATTCCCAATTATTTGTAATAAGCCCCCAATGCACATCCAGGAAATAAGCAGGCACTTGACCCTGTAACACCCTGCAACGCATACATGTGACAACACCAGAGATATGTTGCAGTGTATAGGGGAAAATAATTCAGGTATGTTCTCTGGTGGTTGGACACTCATTGATGATCCATACAAAATTAAAGGGTGAAAGGGGGCCGGTACCATTAGGCACATTGCATCAAACAATAATTGCAATTTTAGAACTAATAAAAATGCCAAAAAAAGAATCAGTGCTATACCATTGCTTTTCCTGTTTGGATTTTCAATAACTTTTTTCACATCATTTTCTTTCAAAACTTGTCTGAAATTCAAAGCTTCTGTGAAATAGGAGACAGTAGGCTCCAAGGCATTAATATACCTGTCAAAAAAATAACATTAGAAAACACCAAATAATTTGTTACAAATCAAGATGGTCAGGACACAGTATATTAAGAAATTATACATTTGTTCTCTGCATCTGGAGGGTGTTTTTCAGCACAAGATTTCTAGCATCAAGAACTAGCATACATAGTATTGTTGCTCAGTGCTTTACTAATAAGAAAGTATCCCTACAGAAAAATACCCCACAAACACGCAACCCTCCTATACCTAAACACCTACCCTAATCACTAAAACAAGCCCTTAATACTTAAAAGAGAACTATGGGGTAAACTTTTTATCCCATAGTTCTCTTCAGGGTCACAGGAAAACATATACTAATGTCCTCCGTGACCCAAAGCTCAGTATATAGCAAGCTACAGATCGTTATATACTGAGGGCGCCGCAGCCGGGACGGATCCAGACAGTACTGTCCAGATCCACCCAGCTAGCTGATTGACAGCTGTGCCTGCCCCCTCCCCTGTCAGTTCCTCCAGTCAGCGCTGGAGGATCGGAGAGGGGAGAATCCCTGCAGGGAGTGGTGACCCCTGATTAGAGCTGCAGCTAACGATTATTTTCAAAATCGATTAGTAAGCGGCGAGCGTGAGGTGGGGAGGAGGTGTGGCACGCAGCGTGTGTGGGGCGGTGAACAGGGCCAACCAATCGGAAGCCGATTAATCGATGATTGAAAAAGTTGACAACTTTTTCAATAATCGATTATAATCGATTATGTCGATTAGTTGTTGCAGCCCTACCCCTGATGTCTCCATAAAGAGGACCTGTCACATATTTTTAAAGTCCCCCCCCAAATTTAAAGTTAAACATAAAAAAGAATAAAAATACAAAAACATTTTTAAAAGTCCCCACCCATACATACATGCATGCTAACATGCGTCGGGGGCGCACACGTGCAAAAAAGACGATTGCGTCCATTACGCCGCACATGTTACATATTGCAGCGAACGTCGCAGTGATGTCAATAAATCTAGGGCCATCAATCACTGATAACACTAAACTGATGAGCGGTAAAAGCTTTTAAAGTGTCGCCTGTGGCCAATTTTGGGTATGGTAGTACCAATTTACCCTCAGACCCCCTCAACACGTACAAGACTGAACTTTTCCACCTCCTGGAAACAGCTTCCAAAGAATCCATTTTGACTAAAAAAGAAATGGCATTCCTATACCCACAACACCCCCACACCCCGTACTTTTATCACCTCTCTAAAATTCACAAGAATGCCACTCGACCTCCAGGGCGACCCATCATCGCCAGCACTGATAGCCTCACGAGTGGACTATCAGTGTACATTGATCACTTTCTGCAACCTTTGGTAACCAATCTACCCTCATACATCAAAGGCTCAGGCCATCTTATACAGATTCTTTCAAAATACCAATGGCATTCCTCATACACCTGGCTGTCACTTGACATCACCTCATTATACACCTCCATACCACATGACGTAGGGCTCAATGCACTGCAATATTACCTATCCTCTCATTCCACTTTACACCATAAACAGGCACAATTCATTGTGGACTGTACCAAATTCACACTGGAACACAATTACTTTGCATTTATGAAAAATTTCCACCTGCAGATGAGAGGCACAGCTATGGGGCTAATTATGCCCCCAGCTATGCTAATCTCACTATGGGTTTCTGGGAAGACCACTTCATATGGGCCAACAACCCTTTCGCGCCCCACCTCATCTTTTATGGATGCTACATCATCTGGGATGGTCCTATTGAGTCCATACCACCATTTGTATCCCACTGCAACAAAAATACACTAGGTCTAACCTTCACACACGTTTTCAATTCAGAGAAGTTAGTATTCTTAGACTTAGAACTATCCTCAGATGACAACACCATCATCACCAGCAATCACACGAAACCCACCAGCGGCAACTCTTATGTACATTTTAACAGCTGCCACCATCCCAGATGGCTCAAAAACATCCCCAAAAGCCAATTCTGCAGGTTAAAGCGGAACTGTTCTACATTAACAGACTTCACCACACAGAGCAAACTACTCGCTAACAAATTCAAAGAAAAAGCTTACCCAGACACACTCATCCACAATGCATACTCAACTTATCTACAACCACCCACACCAGAAACAAACATTCACCCGGAGCCCGTGATAGAAACCAGATTCATCACTACATTCAACAACAACCACAATAAAATACAAAGTATCATTCGTAAAAATTGGCACATTCTAAAACAAGACCCCAAATTAGGCCCGTTCATTTCCACTAAACCCGCAGTCACTTTCAGAAAGGCTCGCAATCTTAAGAATAAATTAGCACCAAGCAGGATACTGACTGGGGTCACCAGAGATACACCATACTAGAAATTTGATAATAGAGTGGGGATCTATCAATGCAAAAAATCCCGCTGCCTTACATGTCAGTTCATTACTCACGGCCAATCATCCTTCACTGATCACTTAGACAACAGATATTGCATAAAACAGTTCATCACATGCTCACACGACCACGTAGTATATGGCCTAAAATGCCCATGTAATCTATTATACATTGGCCGCATCATCCGTCCGTTAAGAGAGAGGATAGGAGACCACAGGCGCTTCATCGCTGACAGCAACTGTGATCACAGTGTCCCCAGACATTTTGCCACAAAACACGGCAAACACATCCAGGATTTACGTCTGTTCGCCATAGAACAAATTCCCGACCATTTCTCCCCAGCCGAGCATTTCCAAAAGCTATGTAGACAAGAAACCTTTTGAATATACTGTACAAACTCAATACCCTTGCTCCAACAGGATTAAATGAGGAACTAGAAATCTTGACCATTTTATAAATGATGCCCACCCAGGGCTCTGGACATATGGACCAATCGGTCCCCCACACACCCCGTGTCCCCCTCCACGAGCACAGGTCACACATGAGTGCATAATACCAGTCTGAGTTTCAAGTAGCAATATGCCCTCATAAAAACTAGATGACCCATGCGTTCTCGCTCTTTCATGCTCCATTTTTACTATATTTTTTATGTTTCATTTTTATTTTCATTCATTTTTTATGGTCCATTTTTAATGTTCCATTTTTACTTCTATTTTTATCTTATTCTTAAATTCTACTTTTTACCAAGTCCTTATGTTATTAAATGTTAAAAACAAAAAATGTTTTATTGGTTCCCGAAACGGACCACCTTTAATAAATGCTCCTGTTCAGCAGCCCCGCTTCCAGTTTTTAATAAAATGCCCATGCATAGTTACATAGTATTTGAGGTTGAATAAAGACATTAGTCCATCAAGTCCAACCTATTAGGATCTCATTCTAGGAGTACCTGTACCCCTGTATATTACGGTCCCTTAAGAAATCGTCCAAAAGTTTCTTGAACAATTCCACATTATTTGCTGAAATCACCACCTGTGGCAGTGAGTTACAGACCATAACTGATCTTACTGTGAAGAACCCCCTTCGCCCCTTGTGCTGGAATTTTTTTTCCACCAATTTTAGTTTTTGTAATGGAGTTAATTTTAAACAGTTTATCGCTAATGTTGCTACCACCATTGAACATTTTGTACATGGAGATCATATCCCCCCTTAATCTCCTCACCTCCAATGTGAACATGTTTAAATTTAGTAGCCTTGTCTCGTAGCTCTGGTCCTCCATGCCCCTAATTAGTTTGGTTGCCCTCCGCTGGACTTTTTCCAACTCAAGGACATCTTTTCTTAGTACTGGTGACCAGAACTGGACCGCGTACTCCAGATGAGGTCAAACCAATGATCTATAAAGTGGCAAAATTATAGACTTGCCCCTGCAATACCTCCCCTTTTTAATACAGGACAAAACCCTGCTAGCTTTGTTTACAGCAGCCTGGCACTTCCAAGCTACCTTTCAGTTTGTGGTCTACAATGACCCCCAAATCCTTCTCCATTTCTGACTTCCCTAGCGGCATACCCATAATTGTATAACCCATTTGTTTATTTTTAATTCCAAAGTGCATTACTTTGCATTTATCGACATTAAACCTCATCTGCCACATTAATGTCCACTCCCCTATTAACTAGAGATTTAGCATAATACATACACACTACCAATCTTTTAAAAAAATGGCCAGTTCATTCTTATTATCATGTACAATTAAACAACTAATCTTGAACTGATTGTTTTTCATGATACTTCTAATGCCTTTTCAAAAAGAACCACCCATGATTTTTATGCCCATGTTTTGTTCTCACAGTAACAGAACATTTGTCTTTCGTTCCCCCAAATGCACCTCCATATTTCCCCATACTGTCTTATCTGTCCAGTGTATTCCAAGCACATATCGAACGTTTATACACATGCCGAGGCTCAACAGCTTTTATTTTGCGGCTCTGCCGCCTACTGCCCCCAAGCTCCGCCCAGCGGTCACATTTAAATTGGCGGATTCCAGCCACCGTTATACGATTCTTTTTGAGCTTGAGAAAGAGGTGCCATTCCTCGAAACGCGTTGCTCTTGATCCTCACCCACGACAGTCACTGACCCGACCATTTCGCCACCCTGCTGACTCCCTGCCGGCTCCCTTCTATTGCCGTTATTACGGCTCGAGCATACCGCCAAGCATCGGTCCACTCAGAGACTCAGCCGCACCATCCACGGCAGTGGCCACAGCAGCAGCAGCACAGCCAGATTCCATTCTTGTGCGCTGCTCAAATCCCTCATTGGAGTGTCAGGAAGACGGACCAAATCCTTGTTCCGTCACCTGCCCCCTGTCCACCTTCCTCCTCTCCCCCCTTTTTTTTTCTCTCTCCCCCTTGGGACAGCAGCCTCAGGCAACATATCAGCCGCCACTTAACATACATTTTGGACATCCTGATCCTCCTCACAGGCTGGTTCACATCTGGTTGCCAGACCCACACAAGTAAGTACATTATACATATATATTTATTGTTCCTGTCACCTTCCCTGACATGTTCGGTCCAGGCAGTTAGCTGACCTAGTTTTGCGCCCTCTTGTTTCTCTTTTCGGTTTT